AAAAAAATAACAACTTACCAACTAAATAAGAGAATTAAAGTAAAGATTCGAAAAAATTACTGACTTAATAAAAGAAGTTTTAAAAGAGAAATATAACGTTATGTTGACGTGCGCTGCCTCCGTCCCACTACGGGCCACCGGCCACGGGTTGGCCCACGGGCTAAGACAAGCTGGGCTCATTTCTACCATCTAGCTATCCTGAAACAAAAACACAACATCACTAACTAACCTACGAATAAATAAATTTTTAATCTGTTTAATATGCACTCGAAAAATTTTTGGTACCTACGAAACGAATAAAAATATCAATGTAGCTAATAAAACAAAATGCTTACTTTAAATCATTCCGACTCGGGCATATCAGTGTTTCACCTCATGAATGCCCCCCGAAGTAGATCCCCGAAGAACATCTAAGAAAGAAAGAAAATTAATATAATCGTAGAAAGATGCTTCTAGAACTTTTTTATTCATGCACCTACAATAACTCGATTCAGAAGTTGATATCACAGACGCGGGTGGATAAAAAAAATCCATTATCGCGATACTAATTTCAAATAAAACATAAATAATATAAATTTGTCTATATAATTTGTTTTATGTTAAAGAAAAGGGGGACTAAACTATAAGAAACGTGGAGGAATATCGATAACAGTTACCTGTGTCACCGGTCGGCACACATAGGACAGAACCATTTCCGTCTGGCGCCGCGGTGATGCCCACGCAGGTGTAATGGTACCATTGGTACGTGCAGTGCTCACCATCGCATCCGATCATGAAAGCATGAGGGACCTCCTTGCCGCAGGGACAGTAAATGCTGTCCCGCTGTTCCGGGACAGAGCCAGAGCTGGAGGCGACGCTCCCCACATCGGCCACAGGTTCTTCACCGTACGCGAGGTCGTCGTACGGGAGAACGTTACAGATGTGGAGTGCGTACGCCCACCTCCGCACTGGGCATCTTCTGCAGGTCAGGCTCTCTGTACCGTGACGCCAGTACAGGTGGCATACCAGGTGACGGCACTGCTTGAACTTGGTGGAACAAGCGCCGCACTCGTGCTTCCTCAACTCTGCCACGTCCACGCCGGCGGTCCTATGTTATGCGCAGAATGATCACCACCAACGTGAATGTGACTCTTCCACGTCGTCCGAGTTGTACTTGACTTGACTTGGAATAAGGACGCTTTTGAATTTTTACCATTTATTTTTCATTTGTTGAAAGACTGCATCTTTTCCGTTGAATTATTTTAACACTGATGTGAAACTTTCACCTGTTTTCAAATATTATTTTAACAACTTAGGAAAAGTCTATTTCGATTGTTCAGGTTCAAAACTTTACTGACTAGAATCATAACTAACTGATTGTGGTAAGAAAATACTAAGAAAATTGTTTTATGATATGCAGGTAGTCTAGAAATTCATATATTTCTGAGTACCATTCAATTTGGTAATTATTATTTCTATTATTTCACTCTCTTAACTGAATAAAATCTTATAAATAATACTTTAACTGTATTATTTAGCCGTATGTAATCTAATTACACAGTCCTACAAAATATTAATTTATATCTGATGTATAAGCATGAATATGTGGCTTAGTGGGTATGCGTTGCGGCCCACGATCATTGTTGTTAAGCAACATTCGCATAGGTCGGTTACGGGATAGATGACCAAACAATTATTATCTTGAGCTACTCCGTACTTCGGAAGGCACGTTAAGCCGTCGGTTCCTCCAATCCGTATTGAACCAGCGTGGAGGGTCATGGCCCATCCTCCTTAACGATGGTTGTAAATATTGTACAGGCGCTAAAAATTTACTATATTTATTTCGCTTTTTCAGTGTTGTTTTTTTTATTTATTTAATATTTAAAGTAACGGTGATATATTGATATTGCGGTGTGATCCGTCACAAGCATACTTTTAACAGATAATATTACAGTCTAGTTAATTAAGCAAATATAGAAGGTCATCAAGCAATGGTCATAACCTTAAATTTTAATCACTCATCATTTTTACAGAGTAATAATATAATTATTTATTTATTTTATTTATTTAAGAAAACCAACAGCTGAAACATGGTTGAGACAATTAGACAGATGTAACTTAAATTAAGCCAATAACAGGTTTCCATAGATATTAACAATATCATCAAAAAGTTTTTCAGTAATCAACTGTATATATTAAAAAGAATGGTCATATTTACTGTACTTTATATAAATTTCAAGTATTTTAGAATAAGAAATTAACATGTATCAGAAAACGAACTCCTCAATATGCAAATACAAGCAATTATGTATGCAAAAATAAGATAAAATGTGGTTACAGAGAGTGTGTCAAAGCGTCAGTCAAATACCATCAGATACAGAAATATTTCCAGGTAGAGAAGCACAGAGACATTGCCAAAGGAATGTGGCGTGAAAATGTACATTAAACATGAATTAGCCATCATCTGAAGCCATGTTCATGCCCAAAATTGCTCTCGCTATTTCAGACTTGAAAACACGCTTCGATGTAATGAAAGGATCGATATCATAAAACTTGCTATTATAAGTCTTTGTAGCGCGAACACAAAAAAAGTTACTTGCATAATTTGTAATTTGTATGATGGATTATATCTATAAAAGTCTCTGAAAATTCACATTACTATACCAGTAAATAGAGATTCTCCGAATAGTGGTTTCACTGAATAAACGACAGGTATAGTATTCGGTGTAACTTTTACCGAACCCGATATTCGGCCGAATTATTCGGTTTACCATTTCATTATTTTTTTAGCCGTAGTGTTTCTAGGTGCTTCTTGTAATACAGCGAACAATGATTTTAAAACCTTTAAGAAGTATAAAATTTTAAATAATATTTTCACAAAAGTGATTTATTAAAAAAACTGCTGCTGAAGTTTTTAAATCATTCAAACTAGACACGGGTAAATAAAATTTACTTATTAAAAAAATTTTTTGTTTTGATTATGTCAGAGTTTGCTTAATTTTAGTTGCAATTACTGCAAAAACATTAAAGCGTCTTTGTCGGTTTCATTAAATTATTGTAAACATATACAACTTATCTGCAACGTTAGTGATAAATTAAATATGGACTTTAGATCGTAATGAGAATTATTTTGAGGACCGGGTTTGTGTGTATCGCTATACCAAATATCGAATACAAACAAAAAAGTCGGAAATAAACCTGAGAGTCAACAAAGTTCATTTCAGATTTGTTGGTCATATTTTAACAGCCTAACTTCTAATGAAATTCTTAGAATTTTTCAACCACCTTCACAGTTTTTGTGAATCTCAAATTCTCATATTTATCGAAAGTTTCAATATTTGTAATGATATTTCTTTCGGCTGTTTGGGTGGATACCTGAATATTGATGAGAATACGCTCTGTAGTAGCGAAAAGCAATAATTGCTTGAAAGATTCGACAGTCCTGTTAGGTCCTGGGTAGCTCAGTGGATGGAGCAGTCGCCCAGATTGCGAAAGGTCGTGGGTTCGACATAAGATTCAAACCATGGGTTCGAATTATTATATAGAAGAAAATAAAGTATCAATATGGCATTGTGTTAATAATTGAATTAAAAATTAAGTTTTTCCTGCGACTTCGCGCCGCGCGTATGAAGTAGCTTTCAATAACTGTAAGAATGTTTTATAGCGGTCCAGTAATTCCGATGCTATTAAACAAACAAATCTTTGCTCTTTTTTATATAAGTATAGATTATCAAATATAATTTGGCAGGTAGCATGGTTTGTCTTACTATGAGCCTGTATTGCATTGAAGTGGTTGTTGGACCTAAGTGGGCATACTCATAACTAATAGTATTACCTATAATAGCAAAGTACAGTAATATACAACTCATGTGGCTCACTGATGTTATTCTGCAGAGAGTTAAATTACTTACAAAACGCTGCAAAACTATATCGCCATAAATTATATTGACGCCATTGTTGTCACTAATTTTGGATTCATAAAACTACTTTTATATTATAGTTTTAATATATTTGAAATTAGCTGAAGTTTTCATTACGAAACTTAGCGACTGCGATGCTTTTTTGTTAACGTATTCAACGAATTGAATACAGAAGTCGCACAAATTTCTAAAGGCCTTTCGTAAGCCAGGCAACTGCAGTAACTTGAGATTTTTAGAGAAGTACATGTTGTTCTATAAGATAAAGATAAATTTAATCAGTTCTAAGTTGAGACGCGACAATAAACAGTTTACAAATACAATTATACGAAAAAATTTGCAAGATTCTAACCAGTAATTATCAATTGTTGAAGTGGTTGTCTTGCAGTTTTCTCTAAGTGATAATAACATTATATTTGTCGTGATATATCATATTTAATATCAAGTACCTACATTAAAGTAATTTAATTTATTTTCAAAATAAAATTCAGCAAATTATCTAACTTATTCCTGGTAGGTGGAAGAGTAAATGATAAAACAGTTTCATGTAAAAAAAAACTTTTACTGGAAATTCTACAATTATTCTGTATTATCCGTTACTCGGATAAAAAATAAGCGGCACAAACATCCGTCGTCTGAACTGAGTGGAAGCGTGCGATTCTAATTGGGTGGCAGTTGCTCGGTTTCGGTGCACCATCAGAAGCACTAATTCTAAAGCGGTACGAGCGTCCTCCACGGACGAGTGGCTACCACTTGTTCGATCCTTGACTGGACGTCCGAGCACTTCCATTGATAAAGACCGTAGAGACCGACACAAAGGAAATCCTTTTGCGTGCGGATACAAATCGCTCGTGTCCACCATAGCGTTGTAAAGTAACTTTAGCGCCCTAAGATTGATCTGTAACGCGTGACCAATCAAAATCGTGTCTGTGCCGACAAATCCAAGTATGTCATTCTGCACGTCTCTAAGTGTCTTCTTAGCTGTCTGTAGGTCGCAAGGTCGAATGCCGGAGAAACGTGTGTTATAATCCACGACAGGCGAGGTAGGCTTCACATACTGTTGGTAAACAATGCGGCCGTCGACTGCAATGAAGGTTATCGAGGTCAATTCGAGACCGGCCGTCGTGAAGCACATCTCTGCATCCACTGAATAGATTCCACCGCGGCGATGACGTGGACGCACATATCCCTTGAGAGGCCCGTTAATCCCGGGTCGTGTGCCACTCCATACGTGACAACGTGATACAGTGCAGCCAATCGCCCCCACATGTTTATTACAACATTCAAACTTCTTTTCCGACACTCGACCCAGTGATGGAAGCACTCTTCCTGAATAAAGTCGACGAATGACGCTTGACAGGTCATACTGAACTTCCTATTACAACGCGCACGCACTTGTTCCACTGCATCCGTTTCATCGTTCACTTTCCACGAAGTCGCCGGCCCAGGTTTAGGCCATGACGGCGGATTCACGTACATTATTGCTTCAGTCGAATTACTTTCTATTTCCACGGGATAACCACGAGTCCACATGGTATCTTTAAATAATACATATGTCTGAAGACGATGTACTAATTCTTATAGCGGAATCCTGGGGGCCGGCGGCGGCGACGGTGGTGACGACGGCGGTTGCTGTTGGCGATGTTGTACTGGAATGGTCGCGGGGTCAACCGTCGGGATAGTTCTTCGATATAACCAATGGTGAAGCTGAATACAAAAACACATTTTTCTTGTCTTTCTGGTAAACGTAGAGGCGTGAGAGCGGGCGCGGTGTGAGAGCCGACGTTACGTGTTACGGTGTACGCGGGCGCTGAACTAATGGCGGTATGCTGGTGGAGCAGTGTGACCAGATTATTTTTTACGAAAATACCGAAGCACCTCAAAAAAATACTGAAATATACCAACTTGAACAGGGAAAATATACCAATAAAAATACTGATTTTAAAATTTTAAAGTTTAATCAATCATCACAATAAATGTTAGAATTGTATTTTAACATTATATTTGAGGGATTAAAATTAACACAACCTCCTTGATCTTTTACACCTTGCTTTGTATGTAAAATTGCTGATACATTTTTGTTTATAAATCTGTTTCTTTGTTCCATTTTTATTAAATTTATCTGTGAAAATATGCGCTCGCATGCAGCATTCGATACCGGTATACATAACAGAGATTTACTGAATGCAGTTAATTTTTTGTACTTGAACGTGCCATCACTATTAGAAATTTTCCCAACTTCCACCCAAAATTGTTCACAAGAAAGGGGTGAGCCAGAACTCGAAGATTGTAACAAATCACTTACTTCGCGATCAAGTTTAAGGGTTCTATATTCTTCATCAATTAACTGCATTTGTTCTGCCTGTACTTCGTATGGGAAAGTTTCTATTATCTTTCTTAAACTGCGAAATTCTTTATTCACGGCAGTGTGTGGGTCGAGAAATTTCAGTTCTCGAAAAATTTTATTATCAAAAGGCAAACGTGATTTTAATTGTGTGCTCAACTCAATTAAAAAAGATTGGCACCTTCTGAAAAAATCAGCAATTTGTTCTTTCATGTTTATGTTTTCCCTGTGTTTGATTAATTCTTGACCCACTCGGATCCCTAAGTACAGATCATTTAATGGCAAATAATTTATAGTAGACTTTGGGTCTAACGTAAATACGTTGTCCGTGCTTTTGATATAATTAGTTTTTATGAAGCAACCCAAAATCGACAAGTACATACTAGATGCATCATCGTATAATTTTTCAATGCACGGATAGTCGCCTTGAAAAATTATGTTAAATTTGTTAACAATCGGCAAAATGTAATCTAAAAAGTAGAAGTACAATTTGTTTATATCACTGGTAAAAAAATTATATATCATTTCTGATGATAGAATGCAATCACTCAAGTATTGGTCTTGAAAGAACAACTGCAGTGCCCTCCATTGCTCCATTCCCAACACAAGCATGAAGCGATAGCCACCTTATATCATAATGACGTAATAGTCTATGGTTTTCAGTGTCAGTGAAATTTTGGAACTCAGCAAATTCTCTTTGACGCTTGCTGCTTTGAGAAAAATATGCATATACTTCTTTTATCATCCGTTCTAAATTTCTAGGCAGTATTTTGCAAGCATGGCTAACACTTAATGCTGCAGAGTGACAAACAGATTTTATGAAAAAGCACTTTGGGTTCACTTCTTTAATTTTTGCAACAATGCCAGAATGTTGACCAAACATCACATTCGTAGTATCAGCAGCGAATCCCAACACATCTTTTATATCTAAACCTAATTCGGATAACTTTGATGACAAAACATTAAATAAATGATCTGCGGTCTCACCACTTAAATCAACTAAATCAAGGAATTTGGTTTTTACTGTACATTCGGTTTCAGAGAAGTATTTGATTACTATCGCCAATACTTTGACTGTGGCAACATCTGTACTTTCGTCAATTACAATTGAATAAACTGGTTTACCTGACGGAGATGCAGTACGAAGTATGTCTACAATCATATCTTTTTCAAATTCGGATCCTAAAACGTTATAAGTTATAGCGGCTGCTTTGGTCCTCTTGCAGGAAAATTCTTTCGCAATTTCGGAGTCGGGAAAACACTTTACTAGAATTTCACTAAGATGGTCCATAGCTCTAAAAGGGATGTTGTGTTCTGCAAAAAAACTGCAAAAACGGAGTTCAGCTTTCTTGACTTCGTCTTTCAGTGGTACCTTTCTAAAAAATTTATCAACCTAGAAACAAATAAAAAAATTGTTAGCATAGATCACCCACTAATAAAAACATCTCCAGAACAACAACAACAGAACTTCTTGACTTTAGCTACAGTAATGCTATATATATCAACGTATGCTTACCTTTGACTGTCCTTTATATTTTTTAAAGTTCGATTTATGCTTTTCACTATTTGCATGTTGTTTTATAGATGCTAATCTACTTTGGAGTTTCGCACTGCATGCTTTGCAAAAGGCGGCGTACTCGTCATCTTTATAACGTGAAAGCCACGAAGAAAACTTCGGAATTTGTTCCCACTTAGCCAAATAACTTTGCTGAAAACTAGAAATTTCGTTCCGGACGGATGCGTCAAGTTAAATAAAAACAAAAGGAAAGCGCTCTATTTATATGATGACAAAAACGTACTACAAAGGGGAAATTCCCGATTTATCGAAAGAATAACTTCAAAGATTAAGTTAAGTGCAGAACAGAAACTCATTTTATTTAAACCGTATTAGATGATTCGATACTATTAATAATTTTACTTCGGCGGACGCTTGCCATGTCCTATCTAAAATTAATGATCTTTGCTCCCGAATGAAATAATAGACTAAGTCCGGGAAATTCCCTGGCAGAAATTCGCGGAGACGTTCGCTATGGTGTTGCCATAACTTTTTATCCAAAATATACCAAAAAATACTGACTTCCGCCAATATACCTACAAAAATACTGATGCTTGGAAAAGTCGATAAAATATACCGAAAAAGTATTAAAATACTGAAAATGGTCACACTGTGGAGGAGCCGACGCTTTTATACTGCATTAGGACTATATTATGACAGTGCAGGGTGGGAGTGACTCGCACGTGTTATTTACGCGGACCACCTAAGTGTGCTTTAATTATACTTGTTAATAATGACTAAAAAAATATTTAAAATTATGTATTCCTTAAACATTTAGAAATTATTTAATGATAGCATTAAATAAGTAACGTTGCCATCAGCAAAATAATAAACAAATATTCAACTCAAAAAATAGTACCTACATTAAAATCTATAGGTTTATAGCGAAATTTATGTCAAAAATTCGGAAAATGATAATATTACAATTTCATTTTTACATAACCCTGAACAAATCTAGTTTTTTGTTCAAAAACCTTAATAACATAGTTATTTTGAATTATGATAAATTTTATCGTAAGACTTGTATTGTAAAAAGTAATAGTACTTTATCAGTAATGAGAGAATAAGAGACAGAAAATAATAATAATGTCTGAAATGAGTAAATTTGCCAATATTACTTTTTTTTCGTTAGCGCTATGTGATTCTGTAATCTGAATAAAAAACAATTCATATCTCAAAACATATGAAATCGATATAAATATAAATGTGCTAGTTTTAAAAATATGTTGTCATTTAGGAATCATACATTCGATCCAGTTACGAGCTAAACTTTCATCATGATCCTAAACAAAGTCAGGTTTTATTAAAATTCTGTCGTTATTGTAATCCATACAATAAGTTGCTCGTAACTATAAAATTAAAAGTATCATAAATATAAACTGTATCATAAGTACCTATAACTGAAGTGACTTAAATTCTTATGAATTCTTGTATTTATACTATGATAGTAAGGAATAATGTATGCGGTGTGGAATCCCATGTAATGTCAAAAGCCAAATGAATCTGAACGGTTTGTATCATAGCGTGTTATAAGTCCCGTAAATTGCTAATGCGCTAGAACCTTGCTTAAATAAGGCAAGAGATAAACGAGTGCCCTCGGACGACAAGCATTAAGCGCACGCCCCACTCACTGGCAATATGGCCACCAACAGATCGCTGATTGGCTCGTTGGCTCTTCATGCACGATTGATCTGACGAGCGTGCGGTACCAAACTGATCATAGGAAGACAGTTTTTGAAGATTTATTATTTAATAATATATTCACTAAAAATGTAATAGTCTTTTTTTTCTGCATGTGATGTCAAAATCAAAATTACTTTTATGCAAATCTTCATCTCCCTAAGCTGTTCCCCAACTCTATGTTGGGTCGGCGCAATATGCCGTCTTCTTCTACTCTTCTCTGTCAGCTGTCATCTCATCGCTCACTCCCTTCACTTTCATATCATGCCTGACACAACCCTTCCATCTTTAACCCTACTCTCTGGCCATGATTATAGCTATCTTACAACTAGATATCTTAGCGATCTTATGTCGATATTTCTTTTTACTATGAAACATGAACATTTAACATGAAATTTAATAACGGCGAATGAATGATATAGAAAAATTGTTTTTGTTCCACTATTGTTTTTAATGTTATTTTATCGTTCCACAGACACAAAAACTTAGGTAGGTATTGTTAAAATTATTTATTTAATATAAAAAATACGGTAAATAAAACCATTGAGTTTTGTACGTCTTTGACAAGTGACATATATATTTATATTTTTTAGATACATAAATCAATAACTAAAGAGTTACAATACAACATCCTCTTTTTATATAATAAAAAAAAAATATTTTTTCCTCTTAGATAAATTAAAATCAAAATAACAAACTATTAAATAGGATAACCAAATCTATCAGGCGGACGACTCACACGACCTGAAGAAGTGACTACATGTCCTTGTGAATTCCTTATAAGTGGACTACTTCGGGATTCAACTTGCGGAGAATCATTAACACTTTGAGATGTACTCGTATTTACATCTTCGGGAATATAAAAAGGAACAAATGATAAAGGTTTAATAAATATTCTGTTACGGATAAAGTGTACACCGTTACACAGGATTTTGTATGTTCTGTCATCTAATT